ACTAAAGTACCGAACAAAGTTTTGAATTTCTTTATCTTTTTTGCATGATTGGGCAGTAAAAATGTTGTACTTTCACAAAATAAGTGCGCAATTTGTCAAAAATTGTTTGAAATTTAGATATAACCATTCAAAAAGTAAAAAAATTATCATACATACATAAAGGAATGACAAAATGGCGGCACTGACTGCCCTCATCTTTAATCTGCAAATGTTCCACACAAAGTTACTCCAAGTGCTGTCATATTTAGCAGGAACACAGGTATAATTATGGAGAACAACTACTGAAGTGCGCAAATTGATGAGACTTATTCTGAAGAAAGATATAGCCTAGTAAATGGAAATGTCCATTCCTGCCCTGTATAAAGTCAACCAGTAGTATACGGAGATAATTGCTCAGTATACTAATCCGCGACCACTCATTGCTGGACATGACTAGAGTGGTTTTCAATTAATGCGCATTGATGCGCATCAGTCTCACTTCACCTCCAGAAGTGGATTGATGTGAAGTGATGCGCTTCGATCAATGTAAACCAATGGAAACAAGAACACAAAATGATACATAATCCAGCTGCTAGTGTGAACACGATCAATGCGCATTATTTCAGCTGTATCAACAAAGCGCATCAAAGCGCTTTGAAAACTGTGCCAGTGTGAAAAGGCCTTTACTCTATACTCTAAGGTATCTTCCCAGAAGAGATACACAAATGAAACTGAAATTCATCGCCATTTAGCAATTCATTGTGACAGCATCGTTAAGTATCACCCAAAATGAAAGTAGCAGCTTCCTAATCACTTAGTAATGGTAGTATAACGTTTGGAGGCAGACACAAGCCTTTTTGACAGAGAAATAGCAACATTAGTGATTTGCAGAAGAGTCGGCCATCTTAAAAATGATAACGGAGGTTGTGAAAAGTTTTTATACACAAATGATGCGCTCACGTGATCCTGTTGCCAATCCCATATGTTAGACTATTATATGTAGAACATGACCCCGAGTGGTGTATCAGATATACACGAAATGATATTCATAATCCCGAGGGCGTAGCCCGAGGGATTATGAATATCATTTGAGTGTATATCTGATACACCCACGAGGAAAAGGTCATGTTCTATATGGCTTGTATAATGGGAAGCCATAAGAAGGAAAGGTTATGCGCATGCTCAGTAGCACGTGGTACAACTGTAAAGGACCAATATGGCTGAAGGAGAAGGAGAACCACGAGAAAAGAAACAGCAAAAGAAGCAAATGAAAGTGTGTAAAGCGCTCAATAAAGGTTAGCCTTCATTAGTGCTGATGAAATGGAAGAGATTGGTACAGATTTCGAACCCTTAGACACTATTAGAGATATGAAGGTACTTACTGAATGGCGGTGTGGTGGTAGAAATGTTACCAGCATTAAAGAATACTCTCTAGATGTTCCTAGAGGTGCAGAATTCATCTCGAATTGACTGGTGGGAGCTACACTTGTTGATGAAAGGTCGTCGCGATGACTGAAATCATTCTGGAATATAATGGGCATGCAATTCAATCAATCCATGCAGAAATAAAGACTACTATTATATCAGTTTATTTACAAAATCTTTTATTAATAAATTATTTTGCTATTTTACAAATGACCTTTTGTTATCATTGTTATCACAACTGAACAAGCCAAGCATTACTTCCGGTGAAATATACCAGTCACAGTCAACTAGCCATGTCCTCAGTCTGTCCCGCAAACGGGCCAGCACACAGCATAACTCAGTATATTGGCTTTCTACCTCACTATTATTTCATAATATTAATGGCTTAATACTGAGCAAGTTAAGATAGGCAAAAAGATGGGACTAGTGTTTCAGTGCTAAATCACTGAACTTAGTAGCTTGTGCCGGCTATTCTATCAAATCTATGATGAAGTCAAACGATTTGCATGGTCATTTCATTGTGCATAATTAAATCTATACATATACCAATAGAGCCTAAATGTAAGCTTACTTACCAGCCAGAGCTCTCAGTAGTCGGTATTCTCGGCAGTGAAAGCAAGAGAAGGCTTCGAAGTGAGAAGAGTTCAAAGACTATACTGGCGATGACTGAAATGACGCAATCATAGATACTACATATGACGCAATAGCATAGATGAGATCATACGGGGCGGCGTAGCAACAGGAAAATATGCGAGTTGTTAGTACCGTAAATAAGCTCTCTAATTACTCGTATGTAAAATTTAAAATGGCTGAAAGTTGAAGCAGGTAAGCCATAGATATACGACTGAGAGGGATTGGAGACTGGTCACGTGAGCGCATTACTACTACACTCACCATCCGCGTTTGTGTTAAGTATATTCATAGTCACCAGTGTCTCCATATTCGGGGATTTTCCCCTAGATTCAGGGATTTTTTGCCCCATCTAGGGGCTAGGGGAGGATTTTTGAAAATCACTCAAAATCTGGGGAATAGTTTGAATGGCATCTTCTAGTGCTTGCGGTTTGAGTGGCACAGCTGACACTAGCACAGATTCAGAGATTGAGTATACCACCGATAAAGATGAGTCACATACTTCCAGTGGTACAAGTCAGCCTCAAAGAAAGAAATTATGTAAGGGCAGACTCAGACAAAGCTACAAGCAAAAATACAACAATCGTTGGGAAAAAATTCCTGAATTAAGAGACTGGTTGCGTCCAGGAAAAGACAAATATTCTGCATCATGTAAAGTATGTCAAAAGGATCTTGTAGCTGGACTCAAAGACTTGAAGCGACACGGACAAGCAGCAAAGCATCTTCAAAATGCTAAAGCAAAAAGATCAACTCCAACAATTTCTACAGTTTTTCCTTCTGATGATACGAAAGAAGACGTCAAAAAAGCAGAAATTAAAATTGCTGCTTTTATAGTGGAACACAACCTTTCTTTTCAAGTTATGGATCACCTTTCTGAGGTCATTAAAGAATCGTTTCCAGATTCCAAAATAGCTATGGAATTCAGTTGTAAGCATACAAAAACGAGGAGTATAGTAAAAAATGTAATAGCTAGAAAATTTCGAAATCAATTACAGGAAACATTGCGCCAAAGGAAATTCTCTATCATCATCGATGAGAGCACTGATATCTCATCTACAAAGCAACTTGCGATAGTGGTGCGATTTTTCTGTGATAAAGATAACAAGGTCAAAAGCAAGTTTTTCAAGTTAATAGAGGTATCTCATGGTGATGCGACTACTCTAACAACAACTATTTTGTCTGTATTTCATGAAACTGACATTCCTTTGCATAACCTTATTGGTTATGCTTCAGATACAACCAATGTTATGTTTGGACAACACCACTCAGTAGTATCATTACTGAAAGAGAAAATACCACACCTGTTCACTATGAAGTGTCTTTGCCATACATCTCATCTCTGTGCATCGTATTCATGCGAGAAACTACCTCGGGCAATAGAAAGTCTAATACGTGATATATATTCTCACTTTAGTCACAGTGCTAAAAGAATTGCTGAATATGAGCGTTTTCAGCACTTTACACAGACAGAGCCCCATAAGTTACTAAAGCCTGCTCAGACAAGATGGTTATCATTAGAGCTATGTGTATTGAGAGTGCTTGAGCAATGGGAAGCTTTAGAGGCGTACTTTGATCACTCAGCTCAACATGACAGGTTAGCTTCAACTCAGACTATACTGCTGGCTCTAAAGAACCCAATCTTTAAATTATACTTCTACTTTTTACAGTATGTTCTCCCCAAGTTTACGAACTTCAATAAACACTTTCAAAGTGAACAACCTAACATTCACAATCTTTCAAGCAGTTTGGCTACAGCATATAGATCTTTTTTGAGCTGTTACATGTCTGCAAGCTATTTACGTTCGAAAGAGCTCTCTGATTGGACCCACAGTCAAAAGAAAATATGCTACCACTACATTCAATGAGTATGGGTGAAAATGTCTCAGCTTTTCTGGCAAGACGGATGTAGGAGCTTTGAGAAGAGATATTAATGGATTTTTGGAACATGTACAGCTCTTTTACATTGAAGCAGCTTCTCAGCTAAAGGATAGACTACCTCTGAATGATGCTGTCATCAAATCATTATCATTTCTGAACCCTAGTACTATACCGTCTACAATGGCTCAAGAAGTGATCAAAGTTGGTAAAATGTTTCCTAATATTATAGCATGTGAGGAACTAAGGAATTTAGACGAAGAATGGCGTAGTCTTCAATATAGTGAACTACCAAGTTTTACTGGAGATGTTGTGTCTTTTTGGGGACAGGTAGTTCAGATGAAGGATCCTACCTCAATAAATTTATGCAGATTCCCCACTATTTCAAAATTGGTGAAATCAATGCTTTCTTTACCTCATTCAAATGCAGAGGTAGAACGCTTATTTTCACAAGTGACTCTCATTAAAACAAGGCAAAGAAATAAATTAAAAACTAAGACTTTAGATGCCTTATTAATGGCTAAGCATGGTCTACCTACAACATGTTTTAGTTTTGTTCCTGATCAATCTATGTGTAGTAGTTTAAATTCTTTGATGTATGATAGTGACAATGAGAGTGATTAATTTTTTTACATAAAAAATCTAAAAATATTAATTACATGTTTGGGGGAAAGTTAGGGATTTTTCAACTGGAACCAGGAATTTATGGGGAAAAAATTTAAGGGGTCTGGGGATTTTCTAATTAGTGCCCCTGGAGACACTGATGGCTCTATCCAGCAGTCACAGTATCACTTTTTCTTTACTTGAAGAATGATATGATGGGACATGGACCTGCGCATAGACTTTTGGAGTAGATTGGTGTAAGAATTATCCTTGTAGCACCAACCAATACTGAGATACACACCGACAACTGGATTGACAGGACTTGATGATGATGAAGAAGATGATGAAGATGAAAAAAGGTGGCTGAACAAAACGGCCGGTTCGCTGATTTTTGAATTTCCTCTTAGACAGGGCCTAGAGCCACGCTAGTTGTACCATTGGAGTCCTCTGGTCAAGATGAGGTCCTCTATAAAGTCTGGTAAGCATAGGAGCTCGTTTTCCCGGTATAGCAAGGCTGCAAAAGTCGTGGCAGCCATTTTGTTTGGGGGTGAATCCTACTTAGTAACGCTACCGCGTTACTAATAGTACAGGGACTTTGGCTCAATTTTGGAGCAACTTTAAAAATTTATAAAAAATTCAATTTTGATCAGAATCAGTTCAAACTTTCTATACAACTTAAGTACATGTATATGCATCAGAATAAATCATAAAAGTCAAGAATTTTCTCCTTTTCAATTTTGGCCTGTGACCCTGTACTAAACATAAAA